AGACCTGTGTCCTTCTTTGAAGCAAACCACAGTTTGGAGCTAGACATGCTGTGTGCCTTTAGAGGAGACCTTCTCAAATAGTGGGGCGTGCCCCCCTTTGGGGGCCAGGGGCAATGCTAGGGGGGGGGCACATGTGACCCTAGAAAACATGCTTTTTTTGCCGCAGGGAGTAGATTTTTTAATTTTTTTTCAACATTCTCATTTTGTAATAATTCATTTCTTAATAATAAAGTTATGAACAAATATGGCTGCCTTGTTGTTTTGGGAGCCATGCATGAACTGTGTCCCTCTGCTGACACGATACATAAACTCAGACCGTCACCTCCTCCGTCCTCCGCTGCTGTTTTTATGTCCATGCGCTCTGGACGTCCCTCACAGCGTGCATGCAACAAAGAGTAAACTCAAGCAAGAGTGACACCTGCCCCCTCTTTCCTCTTTTGCGTTGACAAAATGTTTTAGTTTTATTGATAAGTTTGTCAAAGCACAATTTACAGAAGTAATGTTTAATAAATGTTAGGACTCTATTCTTTGCTAACAAAATTAATTCACCTCCTCAGATAAGCTGTTGTTTTTATGATTCTCTGAATGTTTGTCACTCACAGCACGCAGGTGACAAAGAGTAAACTCAAAGCGAGAGTGTTACCTGCTCCTTCTTTCCTCTTTCATGTTGACAATTTTTTTTGTTTGTTTTATCGATGAGTGTGCTCATTGATCCTGACTTCCTCATTTTGATTAAAAAAAAAATCAGTATAAGTTGTTTTATTCATTTTTGTTATGTAGGTCAAAGTGTTTTAAATAAAACTCCTGAGTTAAAATGTTGCTGATCAATTTGAATTTATTATTATTTATTGATTATATTTAATTTTATTTTCAGTATCAAATGGTCATAAATTTTTTGTTAAAAAAATTATTTTTTTTTCCAGGCAAATTAAGGCACTGTAAGTTGTTTCTGTTACAGACTAAAAAATAAATGTTAATAAAGTTATTCTTCCTTATAAGTTGATCTATATTCTTTTTTTTCTTTAATGTTAATAAGGACACAATGTTAGGCAGAGGTGTACTTATAAAAATTTTATAGACATACTATTTACAGTCGTGGCGGAGAATTGGGGGGGCGCGAAATATTTACTTCTTTCTGGAGAGGGCACGACAGAAAATAATTGAGATGCACTGCTTTAGAGGAACACAGAGAGGAAGCGCAACATTATTAAATCAGCAGTTTATCATATCACTAAAGATACGGCCCTTATCAGCTAACAAGACAGCTAACGCTTTAGCTGTCTTGTTAGCCAAATGCTGGTGAAGATTCTCAGACATCCAGGACATGATGAATTCAAAAATCGTTCAATACAAAAACAACTAGACTTTATTTGTAACAGAAGACGTTTCGCTCCTCATCCGAGGAGCTTTCTCAATTCAATGAGCAGTAAGTGAGAGATTCAGGTTATAAGGCTGAGTGAGCTAAGACACACACACATATGTAGATTTGACAAGTCACACCTCAACACCTTAACAGTAGGGGTTTCTTAAAGTCTTTGTTACTCTAATTCACAGATGAGACCCCTCTGTTCCCATCAAGTGTGAAAACCGGCTAGGAATCTGTTTTAAAGTTGCATTATAGGTTTTTGAAAGTGGAAATCTGAGGCTTCCTCCTCTGTTAAGAGACAGCTTTTCCCTTTTTGCATAAATTGCTTCCTTCACCCCCCTCTCAAACCATCTGTGTTCTCGGTCCAAAATGTGCACGTTTTGGTCCTCAAAAGAGTGTCCCTTATCTGTGAGGTGGAGATGAACAGCTGAATCTTGTCCAGAGGAGGTGGCTCTCCTGTGTTGAGCCATGAGTCTGTGAAGAGGCTGTTAAGTTTCCCCAATGTAGAGGTCTGGACAGTCCTCGCTGCATTGGACCACATACACTACACCACTCTGTTTGTGTATGGTTGTTTTATCCTTAGGGTGGACCAGCCTCTGTCTGAGAGTCCTGCTGGGTTTGAAATGTACTGGGATGTTGTGTTTGTTGAAAATCTTTCTGAATTTCTCAGATAGACCAGCAACATAAGGAATGACAATGTTTTTCCGTCTGTTGTTCTCCTTTTTCTGTTTATTAGTGTGTTTTGTAGATTTCCTCGATGACTTGACTAAAGCCCAGTTAGAATATCCACATGTTTGAAGAGCATCTTGGATGTTTCTGTTCCTTTTCCTTCCCTTCTGTCTTTGTGGGGATGCGTTCGGTCCGATGCTGTAAAGTTCTGATGACAGAGATTTTGTGTTCCAGTGGATGGTAGGAGTCAAAGTGTTCCTTCTTTGTATGTGATGTTACAGCTTTCCTTTCCTAAGGTGTGAGGTTTGAAGGAGGCGGTTTGGACCAAAATATCACCATTTTACCAGCTGATAAAAGAAGATGCACAGTAGTCCTCAACACTTCTGATAACCAGGAAAAAATAACTACATTACTGAGCGACAGCAACACCTACGAGACTCTGAAGAGGGACCCAACCAGCACCTATAAAAAGAAAGTCACAGATTACCTGCAAAAACTTGAAAAGGAGAAAACAATCAATCGATCGTTGTATTAGAGATTGTACCCAGGAGAAGTTACTCCCTGTCTTTATGGACTTCCAAAAATACACAAAGAAGGAACACCACTCAGACCCATCGTCAGCAGCATGAACTCAGTAACATACAATATTGCTAAACATCTGGCTGGTATTTTAGCTCCCATTGTTGGAAACGCACCTCATCACATAAAAAACTCCAATGATTTTGCTAACAAAGTTCAACATTTGAAACTAACCCCAGGAGAAACCCTTGTATCGTATGATGTGTCTTCTCTTTTCACTTGCATACCCATCTCTGAAGCAGTAGAAACCGTCAGAAAACAACTTCTACAAGACAAGGACTTAATCAACAGGACCAACTTCCCTCCGGACCAGATCTGCACCCTGTTGGATCTCTGCCTCTCCACCACTTATTTCAAGTTCAATTATAGTTTTTACAGACAGAAGCACGGCTGTGCCATGGGATGTCCAGTGTCACCCATTGTTGCTAATCTCTACATGGAGGAAGTGGAACAGAGAGCCCTAAACTCATATGAGGGAACAACGCCAAGCCATTGGTTCAGATATGCGGATGACACCTGGGTCAAAATCCAAGCCAAGGAAATAGAAGCGTTCACCAGACACATTAACTCGGTCGATAACAACATCAAGTTCACCAGAGAGGATGCAAACAACAACAAACTGCCTTTTTGGACTGTTTGGTTCAGAGGGAAAGAGAGGACAGCCTTAACATAGAAGTTTACAGAAAACCAACCCACACAGACCAGTATTTTCTATTAATGTCACGCTTCCTCTTTGTGTTCCTCTAAAAGGCAAACAACATGGCTAAATGAGCTCTGAACTGTGGTTTGCTTCAAAGAAGGACACAGGTCTGTCGGACCTGCAGCTTCAAGGTTCCAAGAGGAGGCTCACTACCACAGTTCACACACACTTACATGAAGGCAATGCAGCTGAATGAACTATATAGCGCCTTTCTGTCTTCTCAAGACACTCAAAACTCTTTACAACAAAATCTGTGCCTCATTTACCCATTCAAATAACACTCTACTAGATACAAAGAATAATCAGAGCTTTATTACATTCATACACCGATGGGACACACATCAGAGGCAATGAGGGGTTCAGTGTCTTGCCCAGGACCACTTCAGCATGTGACTGCTGGTGGAATCGAACCCCCAACTCTCCCATTGGAGGACGACTGCTCTAGCGTCTCAACCACACCTGCCACTAGCTGAAGAGGATTATTATTTAAAATAAGTAAACAGATGTCTAAAAAATAAACTATTTAATATATGGAAATAGTTAATTTTTTAGACATTTATTATGTACAGTTACAGATGTTAATAAATGTGCCTGTGTGACAATTGGGACTAAACTTTGACTCAAATATTCAATTCAATTTATTTATATAGCGCCAAATCACAACAAAGTTGTCTCAGGGCACTTTACAGAAACATTCACATACATAAAAGCCAGTTAGTAAAGTTCTCTATCTAAGGAATCCAGCAGACAAGTTGAATCTTGGCTTTGTTGCAGTCTCTCATCCTGAGCAAGCACAGTGGCAACAGTGGAAAGTTATTACTTTATGGAAAGAAAAAAATCGAGATATACATTGTATATCGTGATTTTGTCATAATGGGTGTTTTAAAGGTCGAACCCAAGGTTGCAGGCAGGACACTGGATACTCCAAAAGTCAAAAATCAATATAATTTATTAAATAAATGTGCTGACGTGGCAGCAAAACTCACATTTACAGGTGATCCTGGGAAACAGAGAGCAAGGTTTGCAGGAAGAGACATTGACCGGCTCACAAGGAGTGAGGAACACAGGCTTAAATACACACACTAATGAGGACAATGACAATCAGCTGGGAACGATGACAGGTGGGAGCAGGAAGAACACATTAAGAGGAGACAGGAGAACAGTTCTAAAACACAACAGATGAGGGGGCCAGACCCCAGAAAAACACAAACCCTACAGTACCTATCCCCCATGGACGTCACCTGACGTCTCCAAGAACCCACCCCAAAAAATTTGGGTGGGAGGAGGGGGTAACTACCAGGATGGAGGGCACTAGGGGAACACACTAGGGAAAAAAAAACATAAACCGACAGAGTGGACCTGAGAACTGAACACAAAAGGGCAAAAACACTAAAACGGGGTGGTTAGGTGGTCTAAGGACTGTCTAGTGCTGGACCATCTCTCCCAGGGATGTCTGGGAGCTCATCCATAATGTGGATGTGGTTCTGGTGGGCGGCCTGGAGGCCATCTAGCACAAGGCAGCAGTTCTGGTGGGCGGCCGGGAGGCCGTTCAACATAGGGCGACAGGTCCTGTGGGCTGCTGATGGACACCCTAAGGAACAATTACCATTCGGCACGTAGGAAGAGGAATGAAGGAACCATGACTTCTACAGCTGTTGCCGAGCCCAGGAAAACTGCAGCAGTTACCAAACCCAGCAAAAATGTAGCAGGGGGCGTAGCAGTCTGTGGGGCTGCAGCAGGGGATGTAGCCATCTGTGGGGATGCAGCAGGGGACGTAGCTGTCTGTGGAGCTGCAGCAGGGGACGTAGCCATCTGTGGGGCTGCAGCAGGGGACGTAGCCATCTGTGGAGCTGCAGCAGGGGACGTAGCCATCTGTGGGGCTGCAGCAGGGGGCGTATCCATCTGTGGGGCTGCAGCTGGGGGAGTAGCCATCTGTGGGGCTGCAGCAGGGGACGTAGCCGTCTGTGGGACTGCAGCAGGGGGCGTAGCCATCTCTGGGACTGCAGCAGGGGG